CGATGCAATTGCTGGTGCTGGTGGTGATGCAGATTCTGTTGCCGTTGTCTGGTCTGTGAGGTCAGTTTAGGCTTACCGAACCAACTGAATTTACCTTCTAGACTATCACTCGGATCGTTTTCAGATAACAGCTTTATATTTGTTTCTGCCGAGACCCGTCTGGTTGCGAATTGGCTGCAGCCGAGCTCTTGCAAGTGACGTTGGCTGGAGGTGATCTGATGGAGGAAAAAATGGAATAAGATGACTTTAAATGAGTAAAATTCTCAGAGATTTCACACTGGCAACATTTAATCACAGCAGGCATAAAACAATACTACCACAACAACAACGACAATGATTAGACCATGATCATGCCACGTTCTCTAGAGGGGTGGCAGTGAAATTCGGTATATATATAATGAAAGATAGGGTTTAGGTGTATCCAACAAGATAAAAGTTTCTGGAGAGCTTCACTTAAAATGATGAGGAGATTGATCTCACCGAAAGATGGAGATAATTTCCGTTGTTCTGCAGCCGTTTGGCTTTAATAAGTTTTGGTTAACGCATTCCACGAAACATCCTTCCTCATTTTAGACGAAATAGGGTGATTCAGTTTTAACTTTAGACTCTTGCAAAAGTGAGCTTCAACTCCGATGGTGTCCGTCAAATGACGGACGAAATCGCAGCATATTTTTACCGGAAACAAGGGAAGATGTTTTATGGACTGCGTCAAACTGGAGGTCGTATTAAAGCCATACGGACGGAGAACAATGGGACTTAGCCATCACCTTCTAGTGAGAGCAATCTACGAACCTCTTCATTATGCAATTCTATACGAAATCAAGGTCTCGACAACATCGGTACAAGTCTGCCTAGTAAGAGGCAGTCATATATGCTCACAAAACAATATATGAAAGATAACAACATGCAATTAAAGTATGGATAACTGGCTTACCCAGCGTCTTATGTACAAAATTTTGGAAGGTGTCTGATGAATAATAGGAAATGAAGTCAAATGAAGGAATGAACTGAAAGCCCAAAGTTTCCGATGAAGAAAATTATGCTTTCACTGAGTGGCACGAGGGTTAAAGTTGAAAAACTTGGGAATAGAAGAAGAAAATTTATCTTCAGGAAGTTTGTCAACTGATTTACTAAAGGGAATAAAGAGCATCTTCGTTGCGCAATTGTCCATTTGCTA